TTAAGTATATATATATATATAGATATATATATATATATATATATATATATATTTACAATTTTTTTTACATTTTTGTCATTAATCCAAATTTGGAATTAGAAATTATGACTGGGCCACTGAGGACGTGCAGCAGCCATAGTTTGGAGCCAGAATCCGACACTAGCTGTTTTAAACCAACATCTTCAGCACAGGAGGAATATCATTATTGAGACAACACCGTTATCCTCTTATTAACATAATTACAATTAACATCATCGTTATTATTATCATCATTTTTGACAAGGGAATAGATTAAAATTATAATGCTTTTCATATTTTTCATAAAATTATATGTAAATTATTCATTATTAACATTCTTGTTCCACTTTTGCAGAAAAAGCAAATACTTCAGAAGGTTGCCAATCTGGAACCAGCTCACCGCAAGAACCAACGAGTACCGAAGAGAGTGAAGGCCAGGACCCTGAAAATATAGAGTGGTTTAGGCTAGACAATGGCCGGCCACGACGCACTATCCACTCGGCTAGGTGACTAGAAGTTAAATATTGGTTATAAAATGATGGTAGAGATATTTTGATGTCAATTAATATATTGTGGGATATTACAATTATTGTGAATTTGCTTGACTTAGCTTAATTCAGTAAAAACTACAATGATGTAATATGATTGGTTGTCAAGGTATTGATCATGCTTCTTGTGCTGAAAATACTGGTTCAAAACAGTGTCGGTTTTTAATTGGTCCTTCGAATAACCCTTATATGAGATTTAGGTGGGATATGTGGCAATACTTACAAAATGAGTATTGAGCAGGGTAATTTATTATATAAAAGAATAAAGATGTTTAATTATTATTTACAAAAATGTTTGAATGACTTGATAGTTTCTACTGCCATCACTTTTTAAAGATCTCGAAGAAGCATTCAGCCAGAGGATGTCATGGTCCTGGAGAATGATGAACCCAGCATGGATGGCACAAGAACAGAAGCTCTTGCAGAAGTAAGACCAGCAGCGGCAGGACAGTCTGCAAGTGCTACCACCGCAAACTCTTCTACTTCCAGAACCCAGCAACGTGGAACACGTACCCGTTCCACAAGCCTCAGAGGAAGTCATCACCGCGATGCACTGGTGACAGAGGAAGGAGTCCGAACCATTGGGTGCCACACATTTTTGCATCGCTGTGCTACAAGAGGTCAGATTCAAAGTTTGTTTTTTTTTTTAACTAAATATTCCAATACTGTTACACTTATCACATGAGATAGTATAATACATACTCCAAGTATCAAAATGTACGCCATCGTGTCGGGATTCAATATTTTGACATTAATTATGTTATCATTTTCACAGAAATTCCATGTTTCACAAATTGGCATCAGACTTTGGTTTTGAAAAATCCTCTCTGTTAGGTCCGGGTGTTTGCTTCACGGAAAATGTTACCCTTTTTGGTAGCTCAGACATGCAGTAAATCTTCGGAGAGAATGAGGTTACTGTATAAGCTAATCCATGCCTCAAAACTTTCAGACTTTGATATAAAGCATTACATTAAGTGTAATAACTACATTATTTATCATGACGAGATTGATGAAAAGTTATTGTACTGGTATACAGCACATCGTTATGGAATTTTGGAAAATAATCATATAAAATTAATGAACTTTGAAAGTTTTAATTTTTGGAGAAAAAAAATAGGGTCCTACTAAACACCGCCCGAGACCGCCCGACAATGTTTTTCAACGCCCGAGTGTATATATGATTAGTATTTTACAAATAAATAATGCCCGAGAATAGATAATGGCTTTTTGATCAAGAATTCTTACCTTTGACCGACAGAAATAAGTTAAATATTTAATAAAACATTGATTTAATTTTATAGACTTTCAGCTGTTTCCGTGTGCTGCCAAAAGGCATAAATTGTTAACTAACACTGATGACGCGTTTAACAATAGACCGTTGACGACAATAATACATACTTTATTCCCCTGCTGTTTAGTCTAATAAATTATGACCCTCTTGTGTATATCTACTTAATCATAGGCTTGCTGATCCTTTTGTTATTATAATTCATTATGTCATCATGATTAACTTTAATCAAATTTGTATACATTATGCTAACTTGTTTATAAATTCGTAATTCATGAACAATAAACTTATGTTTTGAAAGTCTACACCGTTTACTGTTTTTCTTTACTGTGTATATAATATATTCTATATAATA